ATCAATAAAACCATCAAACTTAGAGATTATAGTACAAATAAAATATTCGTTAGTCTAAATTTATCAAAAAATTATTTATTGATCATTCTTTATGTCAAAGAATATATCACTATCACTAACTAAATACTGCATAAAACTGAGACGATCTCGGTTTGAACCAGTTTATTCAGTTTATGCAGTTTGGATCGGTTTATGCGGTTTGATCAGTTTGAAACCGGTCTCAAAAACTGGTTTCGAACTGAATATAAACCGAACCGACACATCACTAATCATACCACATAGAAGAGCCATGTCTTCAAAGAAATTTTATTGTGTGTGATAAAAGAAGCCTTTTATGACTTCTCTTCGTGTGTATGCAAATAGCAAAACGAAAAGACTCTTCTTTTAATACATCAAATGCATGCTATAGACATTTGTCTGTTACATTTATTTGTGAAATTCTTACTGTAATTTTAACGCAAAAATTGTTAACCGGATTACACATATACAAATCGAAAGATGGAACGAAATTAGATAGTCATTTCATTTAATCCAAATATTTTTAATCCACCAAAGCATTCTTCCAATCTATTTCATTTACATAAATATATCATTAGGAAAGCTTCTCATATATCTATTTTGTTTAAAAATACAAACTGGAGGTAATTTGGTTTTGTCAGCCAGGTATCTAAGAGCTATGGTGAAAGTTTTCTCATGTTATTCATAGTCCAAAGGCTAATCATGCAAACTCCACATTTATTAGTTGTTGGATTTGGTAAATCAAAAAAAGAGGGATTAAGTCCATATTTATGATAAAGATAAAGAGTAATTATATTAAATATGTTGATTTAAAATAAAATTAAAAAAACTTTGTTTTTCTTCTAAATCCTCAGTAACTCAATCAGTAGGGATGGGATGTTATTTTTATATGGTGCATAAAATCTAAAGTCATCAAACATTTGTATTTTATAAAATGGATAAACTTCTTTACTAAGAAGTAAATACAAAATTTAATCCGTAAATATGCTCAGAAAAGGCCTGTTCTATCATATTCACGGATTAAATTTTGTATTTACTTCTTAGTAAAGAAGTTTATCCATGTTATAATGTTTGATGACGTTAGATTTTATGCACCATAGATAACCAGTTTAGCATCAGTTTTACAACTGAACTGATTGAATCGGTTTAACTTAGGTTCAATGGCTAATTTTAATTAATTACGTAATTTAGAAAACAAATGCATGCATAATATTATAAATGAAACTATTTCTTTATATAAAGCTATTTCTTTATAAAACCAATTTCTTTATGTATATTTCAAATTTTATTGAGAATGAAGTATTTAATATCAAAAAAGATTATTATAACCATGAAACTGAACTTTCAAGTCTATCTACTATATCTGAATTGAATTTATTATACCATAAAGTATTAATAAAAATCATCACATTCAAACATTTCTTGTTTGGTATGAATAAAAATACAATAAAAAAATGAAATAAAGCTATTATTTGAATTCTTAGTCAAAACACATTTGCAAAAACATCAACTCGTCCTCTTATAGATTATCTAAAAATCCAACATTATATAACTACAACAAATGAACAAAAGCAATATAAACCATACGAAAAAATATCGAAAAGCTGAATATACAAACATAGTTGTTGATTTTAAAAGTAATTTACAACATTATTGATCAAAGATATTATGCCAATATGTTCAAAAAAATATTATAAATCTCTTTAATAATTGCTGAATTTCAAATAAATTATTCGTGCCATTGTGTGATTATGATCCATTGATCTGGCGGAGACATTATAAAGATCAATTTTTGACATTAGCAAAAATAGCACGAAGTTATCTTGCTATTCAAGGCACAAGTGTTCTATGTGAACAAGGATTTTCAGTTGCAGCACATACTCTCACCAAGGTTCAAATCGCCTTTTTCCAATATAAACTCAAGCTTTTTCTGTGTTTGAAAAGTTATATGGAAATGAATACTGACATACATGAATAAATATATAAAAATAAAAATAAATTGTTGAAATTTTGATGTTAATATTATTGTCATAATCGTCGATATCAATAAATATTTGTATGGGACACTCGCAATGATCTTTGATTTTTCTTGAACACACTAGATTCTTCATAATTTGTTGTTATATGTGCTTTCAAAACACTTCTATTACTGATTACAACCATTTCAAATTAGTATATTCATCGAAAATGTTAAGTATTTATATTATTTCTTTAGATAGAAATAACAATAAATTTTTATTTATAAAGCATGATATTAAATTTTCTTGCGAATATACAGAGAAATTGATTTAATACTTTGCAAAACAATAAAACAACAACAAAATAAGAATTTTCAGAATATCTATACATGTATATAATAAGAATATTCCATAACGATAAAGAATTTTTAAGAATATCGCATACACAATAAGAACTTTTAAGAATGTAATTAAATTATTAGTTCTTTTGTTTAATTAGAAGAGATATTCATTATTTACTGATGGGTAGAAATTGCGTGGGAGTCACTCGATCCAAATTTAATTAAACGTTCATTTAAATGTTGCGAATCGTTGTTATGTGTAATTTAAGTGACATAAATCTATAAATAAAAATATGCAGTATAAAAATATCCGTGCATAAACCGGAAATTACTTACAAAGGAGGTTACTATACAGAGCGCTTTACAGTACATGTATTTTACACCTATCATTATATCCTTATCGTTATTGTTATGCAACTGTTCTAAAACAATAAACTGCAAGATTTTTGAGAGTTTGTCGATCATAGTACTATGAAAAACTACCTATCTTCAACATTCTAACTTATTGTGAATAAAACATTAAAACAACGAAACAGTTTCAAATTTATACTTGAATGTGTGAAGTTTGCATGTTTGATAATTATATGTACAAGTGACTCTTATTATAAGAAACTCTCGATATAAGACTAATTAACATTTGATATAAGAATTTTGAGCTCAAAATCACTAATAAATTTACTCGATATGAAAAAGTTAATAAATCTTAATATAAGAAAGTTTTGTAAATTCTTCATTATGGATCCGAACACCTTTCTTATATCAAGAGCCAGTTGTATGTCTTTTTGGTGAGTTTCCATAGTCACAACTATTTTATTCTATTTAGCCAAAAGAATTAGTAAATGTGAGAACGAACGTAATTTGAAAATTACATCATTCAATAACTTTCAAGTTACAGAATCAAGTTTACTTTATTAGAACTTGAGTTAGAATAGATATTGTAGGTTTTCATAGTTCATGTACATGTAATTTACTATGCTCGAAAATCTTACATAGTGAATCAATTACATATGTATGTATGGTGCTGCACTATGTAAATTTATAATGCTATACGTTCTGCTTAGTACCCGGGTATTTTATAAAATCGATGTTCAAGGGTACTATGCATAGGGAGATACGTATACAGTCAGCGCTCTATAATAACGATAAGAAACTATATTTAGTACGAAACATTTGTCGTCAGATCTGTCGTCAGATCTGTCGTCAGATCTGTCGTCAATTCTGTCGTCAGATCTGTCGTCAATTCTGTCGTCAGAAAAGTGTGTAACAAATACATGCATGTAATACGTACATGGATCATAAACGTTAATTACATGTGCATTTATATAGCAATGATTTTCGAGTCAAGGAAAATATAAAAGCAAGAACATACCGATACTATCGCTATTAACTTATCCCGTAAAACATACTACAATATTAATTTATCCCGTAAAAACACTAAACATGGATCAACAATCAAAACACGATAACGATAATAGTGAATATTATAATTATAATTTATATAAGTAATAAATTCTATTTCAATGTTCACTAACGCTAATAAAATCGGTTTATTATTTTAAACGCTTACTAGCACCAATGTTCCAAGATTTACAATTATTCGATGATTTGCCAAACAATAACGATAACGATAAAGATTATAGTTATCATAGTAATTTTAGTTATTATTGTAATTATAATTTATATAATAAATTTTATTTTATTTATATTTTCAATGCTCACTAACAAAACGTTTTATTACTTCAATGCTCACTAACAAAAACGGTTTGTTATTTTCGAAAACCGTTTTATCTTTTTTTTAGTGCTAGACTTTACCTTCCTAAGAAGTTTACCGTCCATCTCAGAGCGTAATTATAATTTATATCTATTTTATTTATATTTTTCAATGCTCACTAACAAAACGGGTGTTATTAATTTTTTAAATTTAGATAAACGATATCGCGATAAAAAGAAAAAAGAAATCAGTGATTTACAAGAATCAATGAAACAACGTGTCCAAGAAACAATAAATCAACTGGAACTGAAACAACAACACGGGATTAGTAATGGAGGGTATTCACAAGAAAAAATTTTGCAACCGGAACAACTTCAACAACTGCAACAGCAGCAGCATTGTATTTCTCACCCAAAGCACAACGTTTTATTATTTTTGAATTTAACTAAAAGAGGTTCAACGATTTACAGAAAAAAAGATTCAGTGATTGACAAGGAAAAATTCAGAGATAGCAACAACCGCAACCACGATGTTAACAATGGCAATTTCAATAACAGCAACAACTTCAAAAACAACTTAGACAGCTTAATTTATATGAATAAAATATTCTATTACCCAATAATATTCTCAAATTCAGCTAAAAAAATATTGAGACAAATCTGTAACAGCAATAGCAACAACAACAACAACAACAACAACCACAGCAACAGCAACAGCAACAGCAACAGCAGCAATAGCAACAACTTCAACAACAGCAACAACTTCAACAATTGCAACAGCTTTGTTGGATTTACCACCCAAAACTTACTGAGTACACTATTGATTTATTAAAATGAGCCGCGGAAGTATATATTGTAATTATAATTTATATAAATAATAAATTCTATTTTATTATAATTTTCCATGTTCATTAACAAAAACGGGGGTTATTAATTTTTTAAATTTAGCTAAACGATATCGCAATAAAAAGAACAAAGAATTCAGTGATTTACAAGAAAACAAACAGCAATCCATTATGAAAATACAGAACTTGGAAGAAGAAAAAAAGTCACTTGAGGAAAAAATTCGGCTATTAAGTACCCAAAACACTTCTCTTCGTGATAGAATACAGGAATTGGAAAAGGACTCCCCTAATTCGTTATATAATAACTCACCTTATAATACTAATCTTAACGTTACTACATGTATTAGTGGAAACGTATCTCTTGCGTTAGACCAAAATCAAAATATATATTTTATAACCCCACTACTTTCTATTTCTTCGCCGAATCAAGAGAATTCAGCTTATAATACTAGTAATGGAAATACACTTATTTCGCTCGATCAAAATCTAAATAATTCAAATAATTCATTCTCTTATATTTCTTCACCGAATCAAGAGATTAATCAGATTAATACTTCGTCGTCTAATCAAGAGATACCTTATTACACACCTATTTTGCTTGATCAAGATCAAAATGATTAATTTTTTACTACTTATATTTAACTAATCATCTTTTTATAACTTCGCATAATTATGTAATCTATTTATAATTTATAATATATATTTACTCTTTATATTTTGATAGAATAAATTTCGTAATTGACTTTCAAAGTGATCGTAATTTTATTTTATGGATAGAGATTCCAACGCATTATGAGAAAAAAATTTTAGTGCCGTGTAAAAATGCACGAAAACGCAACAAATCCCCGTGCAGGATTACGTGACATACAGGTTAGGGATTGAAATCGATTCTCAATTTGGTAGAATCGATTATAGATTCCTCGAGTGGCACAGCATTTTTCAATACGAAATTGGTAGATTAAGAACAGTACGTAGTTTCTAATCGTTTGGTGCTTTATTCTGTTTTAATTACGTTTACCCATCACGATTTTGAAACTCAGTTTCAATTTTCTGGGTACAAAAAAGATAATCTGATTAATAACCATAATACAAAATTTATTTGTAGCTATTTTCTAATCTTGAAATAAATTTAATTTTACATGTACTTTGTTTAGCATTTCATTAATTTTGACCGAATCAATCAACGAACACAAACGTCTAAAGTATAAATGCTCCATTATTCTCATTATGTTATATATAGAGCACATTGTCTTTACTTGATACAAAATACTATATAACACGTTTTTTTAATCTCTCATATCCTCCTAGTAAAACGTTTTCGAACGAATACATGCTCTCCGAGAAGAAGGATAATACATGGTCTGAGAAATCGCTGCATCATCAGAACAGAATGGCTTAGCTTCTATCCTTTGAATACGCTGAAAGAAAGAAGACACTACGTAGCGTAGAAGTTTTAAAGATGAACCAAAATCCCGGTCGTACACATTCTTTCGGCTCGTTACGAATGAAATGTTATCTGACTGAACTGATAATGTTTGTAAAATGCTCCACCACAAACTGATATAGGAGCCAATTTGTCAAAAAGCATATTCTGGAGCAGATGATCAAATGATCGACAATCGATTCATTCTAAAATTCAAATCAACCTAACGCTAATACATGTACAGTCGCCTCGGAAAGGAACGACCGATTTTAGTGCTCTGTGGTAGTACATTTTAATAACGACAAGAACAGTACATAACACAAACTATATTTAGTTCGAAACATTAATGTGTCGACAAAATCTATCACTATCAGCAAAATCTGTCGACAGAATTCATCGTAGCACATCATGTATATAGCAATGATTTGCGAGTCAAAGAAATATAAAAACAATCTACATGTACTTGTAAACTTCAAAAGATCTACTTATATCATTATCATTTGCTACACATTGATCATAACCTACACAGCAATGGCGTTACATTTCAATTCAAACCAGCAACGACACAAATTATTGCCACGACAGCCCAATGATAACTGCAGACATTGTGAATACATTTTCAATTTTAACTTACCGCAAATATTATTTTCACCACCACCACAACAGCAGCAACAGCAACAACAGCAAAAACAGCAAAATGAGCAGCCGCGGAAGAGTATATTGTAATTATAATTAGAATTTGTATAAATAATAAATTTTTTCGATGTTCATTAAACAAAAAGCGTTTATTATTTTTAAATTTAGGTAAAAATTATCGAGAAAGAAAGAAAAAACAATTCAGTGATTTACAACAAGACAAACAGAAATTAATTATGAAAATAGAGAAGTTAGAAGAAGAAAAAAAGTTACTTGAGAAAGAAAATCGTCAATTAAATACAAAAAATACTTCCCTTCGTGATAGAATACAAGAA